CGAAGTTCAGTCCCCAGCATCTCCTATTAAAAGGACCAGGCAACAGGTGATATGAAAGACCTCTCTGTGCCTGAAACCCGGAGAGCCGCTGCCAGTCAGAGTAAGAAAATACCTTGATGGACCAGTGGTCTGAGTCAGTATAAGCCACCGTCATGTGTCCAAGGGCTTTAGAAGTTATAGCCAGCGCCTTGAACTGAATTCAGAAAAAAACCAGCAGTCAGTGTGGCTGTTTTCAAGCAGGCAAGATGTGTTCCCATCAGCTAAAGTAAAGGTAAAGGTCTCCCTTGCTCGAAAGCCAGTCGAATACAACTCTAGGGGGCAGTGCTCATCTCCGTTTCAAAGCCGAAGAGCCAGCGCTGTCCGAAGACGTTTCCGTGGTCATGTGGCCGGCATGACTAGATGTCGAGGCGCACGGAACGCTGTTCCCTTCCCACCAAAGCGGTACCTATTTATCTACTTGCAATTTCTTGCTTTCAAGCTGCTAGGTTGGCAGGAGCTGGGGCCAGAGATGGGAGCTCACTCCGTCATGCGACACTTGGGTCTCAAACTGCTGAACTACCAACCTTCTGGTCTGCAGTTCTGCATCTTAACCACTTGAGCCACCGCACCGTTCCCATCAGCTACCCCCCGACAATAGCTGGACTGAACTAGCTGTGGTTTTTGGGTTGTTCTCCAGTGCAGCCCGTCCTAGAACGTGTTATGGAAGTATAGACCTCAGGGTTAGCAAAGCATGGCTTGGAATGGCTCGGTCGGCTGAGTCTAAGAAAGGGGAGAGTTGGTGAACTGGATGCAGCTGACAGAAGGTACTCTCAGTCACCTGGCCAGCTTCTTTTCAAACAGCAAAGCTGGGTCCACGAGCCACCCCGAAGCTCTTAATCTGCTCTGCAAATGCCCCAACTTGACTCCATCCAGCCCCTGCAAAAATCAGCCATCCCGACTAGCCTTACCTCCATCAAATCTGGATTCAGCTTCATTTTGTCCTGTCTTATCCCCTGGGCCATGGCCTCCAAGCATCGATTCCGATCCGAGATGGGTGCATCCAGAGGCTTAGATAATGCAATTTAGAGCTACGGTACTGTCACCTGCATGTTGATGGCACCCAACCTCAGAGTTCCAGATGATCTCATTCAGCAGCCTCATGTAAATCCTGAAGAGCGTAGGTGACAACATGGAACCGAAGACAGATCCTGACCAGTGTTCCCTCTAAGCTGAGTTAGTGTGAGCTAGCTCACAGTTTTTTTAGCCTCCAGCTCACGCATTTTTGTCCTAGCTCAGGAAGGGTGGCTCCAGAGCAAACTAATTTATGCAGCAGCTAAATTGCTCGCTCACAACTTTAATGCCAGCAGCTCACAAAGTAGAATCTTTGCTCACAAGACTCCACAGCTTGGAGCAGGGGTGTCGAAACCATTTGTTATGAGGGCCAGATCTGACATAAATGAGATCTTGTTGGGCCGGGCCACGTGTGTCATAACATGTAATGCCAGGTAGCGGAGATATAAAGTTTATAAAGGGCACAAATGCAAAGGTTTTTTTTTTTACTTAAAATAAAAACATGCTTAAAACATTAGCACTCTTGCAATATTTTGTTTATTTAACAGTGTCTGATAACTGACCCGTCTTGCTCTGAATTATTGCATCAAAATGTCTGTGCTGTTGCACTCTTGAGTATGCTGTTCAGGTATGTATCTGTAGGCTGCAAACCTACGATGACGCAGCAGCAGCAGAACTGGAAGAAGAAGCAGAAGTCAGCCAGTTCCACTGTGGGCCTAATAGAAGCCCTCTGGGGGCCTGATCCAGCCCCTGGGCTGCATGTTTGACACCCGTGGCTTACAGGGAGCATTGATCCTGACCCTGCTGATTCTGATCGACCGATAATAACTATCTGTGTTTGATCAGGCAAGAAATACTGATACCTCTGAGGAGCTACACCGACTTTGTATCCTAACCAATGAATATGCTCCCTCTAAGCTGTGGAGTCTTGTGAGCAAAAATTCAACTTTGTGAGCTGCTGGCACGAAAGCTGTGAGCGAGTGATTTGGCTACCACATAAATTAGTCTGCTCTGGAGCCATCCTTCCTGAGCGGAGACAAAAATGTATGAGCCGGAGGCTAAAAACCTGTGAGCTAGCTCACACTAACTCAGCTTAGAGGGAACACTGGAATGGAGTGGTCAAGTGCATTGGAGGCAGCTGATAGAAGAAGAAGAAGAAGAAGAAGAAGAAGAAGAAGAAGAAGAAGAAGAAGAAGAAGAAGAAGAAGAAGAAGAGATTGGATTTATACCCCGCCCTTCACTACCCAGGGGAGTCTCAGAGCAGTTTACAAACTCCTTTCCCTTCCCCTCCCCACAACAAACACCCTGTGAGGTAGGTGGGGCTGAGAGAGCTCTTGACAGAAAGTGCCCTTTCAAGGACAGCTCTTATCAAAACTGTGGCTTGCCCAAGGTCATCCAGCAGCTGCAAGTGGAGGAGTGGGGAATCAAACCCGGTTCTCCCAGATTAGAGTCTGCACACTTAACCACTACACCAAACTGGCTCTCCACTACACCAAACTGATAGATCTAACGGTATCAACAGGGATGACTATCCTCTACCAAACTTTAAATGAAGATTGTTCCCCAGTGCAGTCTTGCTTCCGCACTCAGGCCTGAAGCCGAAGCCACGCAGATCGGCTCCGCTTCAGAATTGCCTTCCGCCCGTCAGCGCAGAGATCGGCAGTGTCTTCAAACAAGGCCTTACTCTATTTCTGTTATATTCTGTTCAGCAGAGAGTTCTGTGGAAACTTTGAAGTCTTCTTATCGCTAACAGCGAGAAAGAGTGAGAGATTACGTTTTAATTTCTGGGCACACCATCCCTTTGGACCGCCTGTCAGATGCCGCCTCCTGAACAATTCCGAGTTCATGCGTGGCGAAGGCGACATTCCCATCCATCCCAGAGCCCTCGGCCTCCTGCCAAGTTCGTCTCGCGAGCAGTGGCCGTTCTAAATTTGTTGTTTAGATTATTCTTTCCTGGATGCTTGTCAGACTTTGTCCCCAAAAGGGCCTCTGCTAAAGCAGCCGCCTCGTTCCCTGCATTTTGTTTTTTAAAGATGTCATCTAAGGATAGTTTCAAAGGGTAGCCCTGTTGGTCTGCCGTACAAGAACAAGATTCGAATCCAGGAGGACCTTACAGACAGACCAGGTTTTCAGGGCAGGAGCTTTTCGATGTCTTTGACAAAGAGAGCTTTGGCTCTCAAAATCCCATACCCCCCAAATCTTGTGGTCTCTAAGGCGCTAGAGAGTCGGTTTGGTGTAGTGGCTAGGTGAACCGGATTTGATTCCCCACTCCTCCACATGCAGCTGCTGGTGTGACCTTGGGTCAGTCACAAGCAGTGTTCCCTCTAAGGTGAGTTAGTGTGAGCTAGCTCACAGTTTTTTAGCCTCCAGCTCACACATTTTTGTCCTAGCTCAGGAAGGATGGCTCCGGAGCAAACTGATTTATGCAGTAGCCAAATCGCTCGCTCACAACTTTAATGCCAGTAGCTCACAAAGTAGAATTTTTGCTCACAAGACTCCACAGCTTAAAGGGAGCATTGGCCACAAGTTCTTTCAGGGCTGTTCTCTCACAAGCAGTTCTCTGGAGAGCCCTCTCAGCCCCACCTACCTCACAGGGTGTCTGTTGTGGGGAGGGGAAGGGAAAAAAGATTGTAAGCCGCTCTGAGACTCCTTTAGGTAGCGAAGAGTGGGGTATAAATCCAATCTCCACCTCCTTCTCCTCCTCCTCCTTTTTCCTCTTCCTCTTCTGGGAGAACTGGGTTTGGTTCCCTACTCCTCCACTTGCAGCTGCTGGTGTGACCTTGGAACAGTCACAGGTTCTTTCAGAGCTGTTCTCTCAAGAGCAGTCCTCAAAAGAGCTCTCTCAGCTCCACCTACCTCACAGGGTGTCTTTTGTGCTCACACATTTTTGTCCTAGCTCAGGAAGGATGGCTCCGGAGCAAACTGATTTATGCAGTAGCCAAATCGCTCGCTCACAACTTTAATGCCAGTAGCTCACAAAGTAGAATTTTTGCTCACAAGACTCCACAGCTTAAAGGGAGCATTGGCCACAAGTTCTTTCAGGGCTGTTCTCTCACAAGCAGTTCTCTGGAGAGCCCTCTCAGCCCCACCTACCTCACAGGGTGTCTGTTGTGGGGAGGGGAAGGGAAAAAAGATTGTAAGCCGCTCTGAGACTCCTTTAGGTAGCGAAGAGTGGGGTATAAATCCAATCTCCACCTCCTTCTCCTCCTCCTCCTTTTTCCTCTTCCTCTTCTGGGAGAACTGGGTTTGGTTCCCTACTCCTCCACTTGCAGCTGCTGGTGTGACCTTGGAACAGTCACAGGTTCTTTCAGAGCTGTTCTCTCAAGAGCAGTCCTCAAAAGAGCTCTCTCAGCTCCACCTACCTCACAGGGTGTCTTTTGTGGGGAGGGAAAGGGGAAGGAGTTTGTAAGGAACTCTGAGACTTCGAATGAAGGGCAGGGTATCAATCCAATCTCCTCTTCTTCTTCTTCTTCTTCTTCTTCTTCTTCTTCTTCTTCTTCTTCTTCTTCTTCTTCTTCTTCTTCTTCTTCTTCTTCTTCTTCTTCTTCTTCTTCTTCTTCTTCTTCTTCTTCTTCTTCTTCTTCTTCTTCTTCTTCTTCTTCTTCTTCTTCTTCTTCTTCTTCTTCTTCTTCTTCTTCTTCTTCTTCTTCTTCTTCTTCTTCTTCTTCTTCTTCTTCTTCTTCTTCTTCTTCTTCTTCTTCTTCTTCTTCTTCTTCTTCTTCTTCTTCTTCTTCTTCTTCTTCTTCTTCCTCTTCCTCTTCTTCTTGAATCTAGCTCATCTCAGGATAGCGCTCATTTCCCCCACCCCCAGCTGAACGCCAGTTGTTGAAATGGACACAGGCGTACTTAGTGCCCTGATCCTCTCAAGGCGAAGTTGGATTTCTCCCTGGTGCGTTTCCCAAGAGGCATCGGTCAGGGCACATCCTTCTCTCCTTTCTTCTCTTTGCCAGGCCTTGCTGCTCAACGGGTCATTACCGGAGGATGAGCAAGAGAGATCGTTCGCCCTTTGTGAACGGGAAGCCTGCCCCGAGGAGCAGCTGGTGAGTGAGAACGCCCCTTCCCCTCCAGACACGGCTTTTGTGTGTTGCTCTGCACGAGTGCCCGTCGATAATGGCACCCTTTTGCCCTCAGATTATAATCCGGAGCCGACTGGACCAGAGCACGGAGGAGAATCAGGAGCTCAAGGTAAGCGGCTGCAGACGAAAAATCAGAAAGAGCGCTTCCTTTGATGACGAGAAAGATGGAAAAGACTGGGGGTGGGGGTGGGGAGCCGCATCTTTAGGGTGTGCATCATTAGAGGGCTGTCAGAAGGGGGGTAGCTACGTTTGGAGATGGCGCTTTGGAGCTGAGCTGAAAATGACTTATTTTATTTATTTATTTATTTATTTTAAGCATTTTTACCCCGCCCTCCCCGCGATTACAATATGGAGGAAGAGATAGGTTAGGAGGAGGAGGAGGAGGAGGAGTTGGTTTTTATATCCCACCCTTCACTACCCGAAGGTGTCTCAGAGCGGCTTACAATCGCCTCTCCCTTCCCCTCCCCACAACAGACACCCTGTGAGGTAGGTGGGGCTGAGAGAGCTCTCTTGAGAACTGCTCTTGAGAGAACAGCTCTGAGAGAACTGTGACGGACCCGAGGTCACCAACTGGCTTCATGCAGAGGAATCAAACCGGGTTCTCCAGATTAGAGTCCGCCACTCTTAACCACTACACCACACTAGCCCAGTTTCCCCCAGCTCCAAGTCTGCCATGGGTTTCTCCGTACAATCACTTTTCTGTGCTGTTAAAGCCCTGGATCGAACGTGCACGTCTAGACCGCTTGAATGCTCAAGGGGAGCTAATCCTCCGTGCGTTTTCTCCATAGAGCAAAGTTTGAGCCCACCTTTAAGACCAACAAAGTTTGTTGCACGCACAAAGAGCTTATCTTTAAATTAAATTAAAAATTAAACTTTGTTGCATGCACAGAAAAGCTTAAGGTTAAGAGCAGCATACTGTAATGTGGAGAACCGGGTTTGATTCCCCACTCCTCCACAAGCAGCCAGCTGGGTGATCTTGGGTCATTCACAGTTCTCTTAGAGCTGTTCTCTCAAGAGCCTTTCTCTCAGAGCGCTCTCAGCCTTGCCTACCTTACAAGGTGCCTGCTTTAGGGGGAGGAAGGGAATATTGTAAGTCGCTTTGAGACTCCTTGTTAGAGAAAAGTGGGGTATAAAAACCTACTCTTCTTCTTAAGGTTAGGTAAAGGTAAAGGTTCCCTTGCTCGAAAGCCAGTCGAATCCGACTCTAGGGTTGCGCTGCTCATCTCCGTTTCAAAGCCGAAGAGCCAGCGCTGTCCGAAGACTTTTCCGTGGTCATGTGGCCGGCATGACTAAACACCAAGGTGCACGGAACGCTGTCCTTCCCACTGAAGTGGTACCTATTTATCTACTTGCAGTTTCTTGGGACTAGAGACGGGAGCTCACTCCGTCATGCGGCACACTCGGGTCTCGAACTGCTGAACTACCGGACCTTCCACAGCCTGCAGTTCAGCGTCTTAACCACTTGAGCCACTGCAGCTCCTCTTCTTAGAGACCATTAAAATTTGAGGGATATACACTTTCAAGAATCAAAGAGAGTTTTGACTCTTGAAAGCTTACGCCCCTCAAAACTTCTTTGTCTCTAAGGTGTTACTGGACTCGAATCTTTAATGGGTAATTACTGTATTCTTCAACTTCATCATCACCATATACACTTCCATATTCTCTCTCCTCCATCCTGTCACGCTGTCGCTTCCCTCTTCGACCCCAGTAGGCTGTAAGGCCCAGGCCTTCTGTATACCGTTCAGTCCCATTCTGAAACGCTGAGATCTAGTTGTAAAACTATCCAGGGTGCCACTTGAGGTCCCTGCCTATGTCTAGATGTAAATGTATTCATCGGGGAGATAAAACCCGCGGAGGAAAAAGCTAACTCCGTCGCGTCTGTTCCATTTGGGGCCTGTGACGGGGGGGGGGGGGGGGGGGTTTGGCTGGGAGCCCAGCCCTGTCGCTAGAAGCCGCATTCTCAGCACTCGACTGAAAGGGGGATGTCAGGGGATCGACGGCTTTCCCATTTGCCGTTCAGCGTCGAGCACTTAAGGGAACAGTGGATGTTGGTGGGTGGGGTGGGGAGCAGTGTTCCCTCTAAGCTGAATTAGTGTGAGCTAGCTCACAGTTTTTTAGCCTCCGGCTCACCCATTTTTGTCTTAGCTCAGGGAGGATGGCCCCAGAGCAAACTAATTGATGCAGCAGCCAAATTGCTCGCTCACAACTTGAATGCCAGTGGCTCAAAAAGTAGAATTTTTGCTCACAAGACTCCACAGCTTAGAGGGAATATTAGTGGGGAGTGTGGCTTAATGTGAGGTGGATTTCTTCTTTGTGGTTCCCGCAGGCTCATTAAAATAATTCCCGCTCCCAGATTTCGTTTCGATTCTTTTCAGGAACAAGAGGTTTATTTCAAAGGGGGCGGAGGCAGAATGGTGCAGGGCTGAGGGAGGCGGGGCCGGTTTGGAAACGGTGACACGGAGACGTCGTTGTAACCTTGACTCTGTCACATTTGCAGAAGGAACTGCAGAAGCACAAGCAAGAAGCCAGAAATCTGCAGGGGATGAAGGTGAGGAAAGTGAGGGACTCGGTGGGGTCGGAGGAGAAAGAGGGCGCAGGAATGTCCCATCACGCCTCCATGGTTGGGGGCCAGGCCTACACCCTCCTCCGTGCCCGGATGTCGCTCACGGGACAAAAAGGGAACAGGAGAGACACATTGTTAGAAATCCGTCTCTATGACAGTACAGAAAAAAAGTGCTTCTTAGGATCCTCTGGAGTAACATCTACTTCACGTGGGAGGAGCGCTGTCTTAAAGAAACAGGGAGGGATTTTATTTTATTATTATTATTATTATTACGGTCAGGGGTAATTTCCTGCAGGAGCGCACAGGAGTGGAGCTCCGGCAGTAAAGAGCCCAGGGGGCGGGCACATGCAACAAGCCCCACCCCCCTGCTCCCAACAGCCCTCAGTCAGAGCAATAAGCAGCCAGGTAAGTTGCAGAGTTCCCCCCAGCCCTCCAGTCCAAAACAGCCCAGTGGCACCTTTAAGACCAAGTTTTATTCCGGTACAAGCTCTCCCTCCTCTGTGAGGGCAGATCTACACGTCCCCCCCCCCCATAGCTAGCACTCCAAAACAGTCCAGTGGCACCTTTAAGACTAAGTTTTATCCAGGTACAAGCTCTCCCTCCTCTGCGGCTTCCTTCCTGCCTCTCCCCACCCCTGCCTGCCTGGGGCCAGGGAGGGCCTTCGCGGGGCTTCCTTGCACTCCCGCCGGCCGGGACCGTTGGGGGTGGTGTGTGTGGCCTTATGACACACTTCCCGTGATGTCAGGGGGTGTGGCATATGCTAATGAGTTATGCTAATGAGTTCCCCTAGCTCTTTTTCTACGAAACGACCCCTGTGTAAGGGAAAGAAAAAAACCCAGTCATAATATACAAAAATAGAAGTCTGAATTTAAGAACTTTTGAAATGCAATTCCCGCTAAGAATTAATGCACAAAACTCAGCGACTGAATGTGTAATTTCTGCCTTCTTACGTGATAGGAGCCAGTGAAGCTTTGCTTTGTTTGTATTAATGTGCCCAGGTGTCCTATCGACAAATGGGGTAACAGGGAGGGATTTGTGAATTCCAATCCCTTCTTTAACCATGCAGGGTTATTCAAAGCAGTGGCCTGGGAATCGTGAACTCGGGGGGGCCCTGCAGCCGATTCCGACATTACGTGAGACGCGCGGAACATCTCACCAGCATGTGGATGTCCATAGCGGCGAGAGTATAAAGTTGTCGAGGACCAAATTAAAAGCACGACAAGTAGATGGGGGAGGGGACCGTAAAGAGCAGTTTGAGTAGGATTTGCATTTGTGCTGAATGTGCAAATGCTGATTTATGGGTCAGACTGCAAGCGCTCTTCTTCACGCCGGCATGGATTTCTGCATGCAGCAATATGAGGGAGGAGGCGGCCTTTGTTCTGTGGATTCCGTGTCTAAGGGGCAAAGCAGAACTTGACCAAGCCCTGGTTGCTTAGGCCGCAAATGGGTTTTTTGAAGCTATATATTTATTTATTTTCACTGTACAAAAAATATAAACAGTTCTACCTGCCCACTCCCCTCCCTCCCACCCATCATGTTTCCTGCTCCAGTTTGGTGCAGTGGTTAAGTGCGCGGACTCTAATCTGGGAGAACCAGGTTTGCTTCCCCACTCCTCCACTTGCACCTGGCTGGATGACCTGCTGATGCCTGCCTCTTTCTGCCCCACGGAGGGGCTTCGGCGGCAGCCAGATGGTGACTTTGTGCCGACCAAGAGAGCCCCCAAGAGGAAGCCCCGCCAAGGCCCTCCCTGGCCCCAGGCAGGCAGGGGTGGGGAGAGGCGGGGAGGAAGCAACTTACTCTCCCTCTTCTCCTGCCTCCTCCTGGCTGAATGAGGGCCGGAAGCGGGGCGGCCGGAAGCAGGGGGCGGGGCTTCGTCATGTGCCCCGCCCCCGTAACTCACCCGGGGGAACTGCGATCCCCCGCGATCCCCCCCAAAATGACCTCTGCTAATCTGGGAGAACCAGGTTTGATTCCCCACTCCTCCACTTGCAGCTGCTGGATGACCCTGGGCAAGCCGTAGTTCTGTCAGAGCTGTCCTTGAAAAAGAGCATAAGAGATGCCAATGTTGGATCAGGCCTGGGTGGGGGGCTATCCAGGTCAGGGAAAGAGATGAACAGAGGCAGTTTGCCCTTGCCTGCCTCTGCGTAGCGACCCTGGACTTCCTTGGCGGACTTCCACCCAAGGACTAACCAGAGCCGATCCTGCTTCGCTTCCAAGCTCTGACATGAGAAGAGCTATCCTGGACCAGACGGAAGGTCCATCTAGTCCAGCATTCTGTTCACACACAGAGGCCATCCTGCTGCCTCTAGGAAGCCCACGAGCGCATATAGTTCCTTGCGTAGGAACGCATCCAACTTCTTCTGAGTTGTGTTTATATTTAAATAGCAGTCCTCAAAGGATCTGCCCGAAGCAGACAGCGGGAGCAAACAAGATGCTGTTTTCATGCTGTGTCAGAGGCTGTTGTAGGAAGGCAATTTTGAGCTTTCAAGTAAGTGAGCCAAGCTGCGTGCGACGGAGGAATCAAAATGAAACCAGGACTCTGAGGGATCAGTTCCATTCGGGCACACAGTATAGATTTGGTTCTTGAAAACAGCAGGCACGGTACTAAACCTGTGCCTGGGCTGTACCACTTCAGACTGCAGCTAGGAGCTCACATGACTGCACGCTCCTCTGTATACGTAATATTTCCCGCATGTAGAAAGCTCAGTGTCAGGGAAAAGGATTCATATCTAGCCTTCTCCCTTCCAGGCCAGATTTCTACATGCAGTTGTGTGAGCCTCCGCCTGCAGTCTAAAGTGGAGCACTCCACTTCACCTGCCGTTTGAGAACTGGGTTGTGGAGATCAGGGAAACCTTTAAAGACGAGTAGCTACAGGTCTGGCAGCAGGGTAATTCAGCATTTGGTGCTCTCGGCTCCGAGGCCCTGGCTGATGCCTGCCTCTTTCTGCCCCACGGAGGGGCTTCGGCGGCAGCCAGATGGTGACTCCGTGCCGACCAAGAGAGCCCCCAAGGACCCAGCATTTCTTCAACTCCGCCACCTGACCATCCACTGGCAGAGGGGCCCTGCAGGGATGCTGGCAAATTAGCTGATTGCCAGCTCGGTGGTGTTTGGCGAGTCTGGGCTTAGGCCTAACCAGCTCACCTGGATTGATATGTGCAGGTCTCTTTCCCCTGGACCAGCCCCCTGTGACTTTGCCTTCCCCCCTGCCTAGAGACGTGAAGGCCCAGAAAAATTCAGAAACCCCACCCCCCGTTTTTTTCCTGAAGCCTTTTTTGTTTTTTTCCAAAAAAATGGAAAAATTGAAAAAAGAACGTTTTATTTTAACATGGTGAATAAAATATTTTAGGACAAGGTGTTCAAATATTTTCCAAATCATTTCTAAAAAATATGTATGGTATCAGATTGATCTAATTTCTGTGCACTGGGGACAAGAAAGTCCTGGGTTACAAACTGAACTCTCCGATGCAAGAACAGGATGCATTTCTTCGTTTAGGAGGTGCTGTTGTCACAAGAAAAGAAAAAGGCTTCAGTTTTGTTTTTGCATGTGGGTGGGTATTCTGTTTGTCATAATTGTTTGGATACACTATATCTTTAATATGCTAGTTGTGATCATTTCATGCCAAGTAAATATTGTCCATAGTCATATTTTATGTTCCTAAAGTAACAGAATGACTTTCAATCTGGAAAAGAAAAAAGAAGTGCTAATGTAGCATTTTTTTCAATTTTTTCGAAAATTTCCGTTTCCCCCCCTAAAACTGGGTCTTTTCCCGAGCTTCAAAATTTCCAGAAATGTTACATCTCTGCCCCTGCCTCTGTGCCGCTCGCCCACCCTGTGGTGCCCGTTCTATCCGAGGGTGTGTTTATTTTCCCAGGATGCCTTGCAGCAGCGGCTGGCCCAGCAGGATGCTGTGTGGCCCTTAGTAAACTTATGGTCAGTCATGAATATATTTATGCAAAAGGAGGTTCCACAGTCTATTCTCCCTTCTCCCAAATAAGTGTTCATAGGACCGCAGCCTTAGAGTGTTCACATGTGAGGCTAAATTGACATTGAGCCTCTTGCACACTGTCTATGTGAAGGGTGTTGAACGCATTTGTTAAGAGGGCTGGATCTGACATGAATGTCACTTTGTCGGGCCGGGCCATGTGTGCCATAAAACGAATGCCAGGTGCTGGAAGTGTAAACTTTATAAAGGACAGCAGCTGGTAAGCTCCGAGTTGGTGTAGCCTCACTGCAAGGACCCATAGGCTGGGAGGGGGGTGCAGAGGAAATCACAGAGCCAGCAGTGCAGCGCTAGGCAGATGCTCCCATGCTGCTTGACTGCTGAAGATGAGGTTATTCTGCCCTGCGGAAGCCACAATCGCAGTGGCTCCGCCCACTCCCCCATGAACAGTCTCCTGTTCCCTCCCTTGCAGTAGTTGCTCGCGGGCCGCATAGGAGCCCTAGATGGGCCAGTTCCGGCCCCCGGGCCTTATGTTTGACACCCGTGCCATAGAGATTTCAAGGCAAGGTTCAGAGCTGGTTTGCCATGGCCTGCCTCTGTGCAGCGACCCTGGCCTTCCTTGGTGGCCTCCCGTCCAAGTGCTAACCAGGGCCAAGCCTGCTTCGCTTTTGGGATCCGATGAGGCCAGACCACGAGGCAAGGGGCTCAGTTAGGTTTGTGGGGAGTTAGAATGTGGGGAGGGGGCACGGCTGGTGAAGCTGAAGGGCCAGCAGCAACGAGGCCAAGTAACAAGCGAGGGGCCACCAGTGAAAAGGCCCTGTACTTGGTCGCCACCCACTTTGGTGTGGTGGTTAAGTGCAGGCGGACTCTAATCTGGGAGAACCGGGTTTGATTCCCCACTCCTCCACTTGCACCTGCTGGATGACCTTGGGCAAGTCATAGTTCTGTCGGGGCTGTCCTTGAAAAAGAGCAGTTTCTGTCAAGAGCTCTCTCTGCCCCACCTACCTCACAGGGTGTCTGTTGTGGGGAGGGGAAGGGAGAGGAGTTTGTAAGTCGCTCTGAGACACCTTTGGGTAGTGAAGGGCGGGGTGTGAATCCAATCTCTTCTTCTTCTTCTTCTTCTTCTTCACCTCTGAAGGCAGGGATGCAGACAGTGGGGCTTCAGCTTCCCCTGTCCTGTCCTGTTCCTTCAGTAAAATCTTCCCTCCGGTTGAGTGAAAAGGCACTGGCACTCATTATGGTATGTCTTCGCCCTCTGCCCTGGCACCATGGCCATGAGGCAAGTCTCCCTTCCCCACCCTGGCCACTTTTTGGAGGAAACCTGGCTAATAATAATAATAATAATATCTTTCGATTTATTAATCGCTCAATCCTGCAGAGCTGCTGGCTCTGAGCGATTTACAGTTACACATATTCACACAGGACTAACAATGATTCATAGGGGTAAAGGAGGACAACATATAAATCTTTTAAGTCGCACACGTTTGCAGCCGACGGGTACAGAGTCATCCTGCAGGTTGCCCGTTAGCCTTGCACCATCTTGACCAGAACTGGATCAGAGCGGCACCTGTTGACTTGTTGCCTGTTCCGTACGGAAGAGGCAGCAGTGGGCTTGAGTGGGCTGAGGTGACAGGCAGAGCGCCCGCAGAGCTCATGCTGTGCGTGGCTCCTGTTGGCTTTGGGCCTCGTCGAATGCCGGGCTTGGTCCCTGGCGCCAGTGACTGGCAAGGAGGAGTGCTAACGACGTGCCCACCTTATATGGCACCTTCTGCTTCCACAGGCTGATCTGCAGAGGAAAGTCGAAGAGAGGAACCGACTGCTGGCGGAATACAAAGTAAGGGGTGTCTCCCTGCCTCTCCCCGACCCGTCTCCAGTGCCTCTGCGCCTCTGCCTCTTTTGCCCTCTTGACTCCTTGGCCGCTGGCTGAGTTGTGTTGTGTCCCTGTGGCATCCACGCAGCCCAGCCCCCGGGGGGTGGGGGGACCTGGCTGACCTTTCCAAAGAAGCTCGGGCTCTTACCCGGGAATGTCTGATACCCGGGAATGTCTGACAAATGCTGGATATGTAAGATAAGGGTGGGAAGCTTTTTCCATGTTTGGTGAAAGTGTAAAGAGGTGAAGTTATACTGGAGAAGGGTTCACAAAATGTTACCAAAAAAATGTATGATACCTCTACCATTCAAACCCGAAATGTTTTTGCTTCATATTATGCCTGATGTAAAAGATAAGAAAGTTAAGCACTTAATTATACATATAGTTACGGCAGCAAGAATTCTGTATGCTAAGTACTGGAAGAAATCAGAGATACCAACAGAAAATGAACTTTTGACAAAAATCTTTGAAACAGCGGAAATGGATATATTTTCGGACGTTAAAAGACCAAAATAAGCAAAAAGTGAGAGACAGTTGGAGACCATTTTACCTACTGGGTGGAAAGAAACTTTGAAGACCGCGAATAATGAATATAATTACTATAAACGTGGAGAAACTTTAACTAGAAACTTTTTTCAGGATCCACTATAGAAGATTTTAGCGATTTGATTAAGTGTTATTAACATCAGTAAATATATAAAAGCAGGGGTCATTTCGTAGAAAAAGAGGTGCAGGAGCTCATGAGCATAACTCATTTGCATATGCCACGCCCCCTGACATCACCGGAAGTGTGTCAGAAGGCAACACCCACTGCTCAGGCTCCACTGGACTGTTTTGGATTGCTAGCTATTGGGGGGGA